TCATAAAGGTCCAAACTTGGGGACAAAAAGCTCATAAAACTCATCCATGGAGATCAAAAAGGAAACTCATCAAGGTATAAACTTTATACCTGAAAAAATGCACAATGAGGAGTGGTTTCTAGATCTACAAGCTTGCAAGCAACAACTCCTTCTTCTCTATCGTCCTTCTTCAACAACATGCACCAAAATTACTTAATAAGCTCTCAAACTCTCACTAACAAACTTAGACTCGAGATTAGGGTTTGAGGAGGGAATGGTGGCCGATAAGGATAGTCCAAGGGAGGTATAAGGTTGTTTAAATAGGGAGCAACCCTTAAAATTATGGTTTATTGATTGGGCTATTACACCCGGCGTACCATACGTACGCCCATCATACTAGCAGGACATCCGCGATCCCGCATCACACGAGTACGCTGAGCATACCCTCAAGTATGCCCAGCATACGGCTAACACGTAAAGCTTTTACCACAAGGGACCAATTATGCAACTTTGATAAAGTTAAGAGCTAGAAATGATAATACCTGATAATCGGATGTTACATCACTACGCTTTGTGCTTACGGTTTCATGTTTATGGTTTTCAGGTACTTCCGGTTCCAAAGGGAAGGGTCCGACGTGACTGCACAACATCCCTCAGAGTTTTCCGCATCGGCTATTTATGATTTTTACTTTGATGTTTAAATGATATATTCACTTTGATTGGTTTTGGAACAACTCATTTGTATGGTTTATTGATTTTAAAATAAAAATTTTACCATGAATGTTTGGGACATTACATTTCTCCTCATAATATATATTCTTCTTCTTTTTTTATCTATGTTCAGGTCATAAAATAAAATCTAGAGTAAATTACAAATTTGGTTTCTAAACTTTATCTAAAATTGCAAGTTAAGACTAAATTTTCAAATTGTTCTAGTGTTGTCATCAAATTTCCATTTATTTGTTATGGATATGGTATCTGACCGTATAAAATGACTTTATATTCTGGATTTAATTTGTTATTTTGAGTAAAGCACAGGGACCGTATTTTCAATGAAATGCAAATGTAAGGATTGAAATCAAACAATTTTAAATTTTGGCATGATGGTGAAAACTATCAAATAGTTTTAAAATATCAAACATGGAATAAAAATAGGATGTGTAAAAGTTCAAAGATCACAATAAATCTATCAAATAAAAACCCTGAATTAAATATGAGGAGATGGTTTGAATAGTAAAAAAAACGTGTTGGAAAATATCTCTTCTTATGCGGGGAACTAGCAGAAGAAAACACAAGAACAAATGTAGTGGAGCCAAAATCTTGTGTAGGTAAATGGAGGTGTCAACTTCAAGTAGTGAAGATGAAGCAAAGTGGTTGAAGTCCATTGTTATATTATTGTTTCCATGTTCTCTCGTGTGTCTTTTTCATTCTTTCATGGATCGATAGGACCCAATTGCTATATAATACGGATAGATACATTTAGGTTGTGTTTCCGTTTTTTTTTATTGTCATGTTTAATAATCCAGCAAAAAATAGCTTATAAATTAAAAATTTTAATTAAAAAAACTACTCACGCTAATGTTTTAACAACTTTATAAATATATTAGTTTATAACCCGTGAGAACCACGGTTATAAAATTAATTAAACTTTCATAGTAAAAATTTAAAATTATTAATCAATTATTTCAAATAAATTATTTTAATAAATAAATAAGTTTATTCTTTTATTGACATGTGTCACAATATTAAAAATCCTCATTAAAATTGTATGTCACCTATAATGTCACATGTCAATCTATTAATTATCCATTTTAAATTTTAAATTTTAAAATTTAAATTTCTCAATCTAAGTACATTAAATTAATAATTGATTCTTCATTTCAAATTTTAAATTTTAAATTTCACTCTAATTACATTAAATTAATAACATTAGAATAAAAAATAAAATAAAATTAATATATATTATAAGATGATATAATTTCATTATTTATATATATATATATATATATATATATATATATATATATATATATATATATAATTCTCCCAAATATATCATTTATTCCAAATCATCATCTCCATTATTTGATAACAAACTTATAACTACTAATTTTGAAAATATTTTTAAAACTAACATTAATTAAATACAATTTTTTAGCTAGGTTCAAGTTGCTTTGAATTTCGAATTTGACTTGGAACTTTAAATTTTGAAACTATCATCTAAATTTGATAAAATTGCAAAAATATTCTCGTGGTTGGCAAAATTCTATAGTTTCGGTCCAAAAAGTTTTGGTGGTGCACCAGTGGTCCAAAATTGGATCTTTTTATTGGTTTTGGTCCATACACACTTAAAATAACGATTACGCCCTTATAATTTATGTTGTTCATTTTTTAATTACTAAAATACATAAATTAATTGTAAAAATGGTCCCTTCATCTCCAAATCCACCCTCTATCACCGTTGTTTTGAACCACCTTCGGCAGCCGACATTATCGTTGGAGTTCACCCAAATCACCACCACCACCTCTGCCATAGATCTCAAATTCCCCATCCACACTGTCCTCTCTCCTCATATTTTGCTGGAATTAAACCCCTCCCCCGATTAAAATCACTAAAACTACATGTCGCACCACCAGTAATCATCGTCGAAGCTCACCACCATTAAAACCACCATCAATCATCTAAGTTGCTACACCAAAAAACGAGATCCTTATGTCACCGAATTACAACGACATTGGAAACAAAAACCTTCATCGCATCCACATCCTTCATTGTCATCTGTTAAGCCTCACACACCACCATAAACCTCCACCATTCCACTAAAAATACTCCTTCCACCATCGAGCATCACCTCAGCTGAAAACCACAACAGAGCAACACCTCATCTAGCCTTCTACAAACGACATCAGTGGGGTTATGGACTGATTTGATCAGATCAGAGCAGACCTATGAGAGAGAGGGATGAGAAAAGTGGTGATGGGGTCGATGGCTATAGGTGAAGACTGGCAGCAATAGAGGTCCAAAACTTTTGGGTTTTAACAGGATTTGGCGGAGGTAGTGTACAGCAAAAATTAGATCGATTCTCCGGTTGTTGAGCCACGACCTCCTTCGGTCTCGTAGATTCTGATGGAAGACGGAGTTAACATGGAGCTGGTTTTTTCTGGATTTTCCATGGCAAATCAGGTGGTGGTGTCCGACAGAAATGAAAAGAAAGAGAGAGATATTGATCGGAGATGGGGAAGAGAGAAAGAGGGTAGGTGGGTTAGTAGGAGGTGATATTTTTTTAATTAAAATTAATTAGAAAAAGAATTAATAAATGGCATATTCGTCATTTCAGGTTGGCAATGGACCAAAATCACATAAAAATGTCATCCATAGGGACTAAAATCACATAAGATATCCGAATTTGGACCACCGATGCATCATCAAACTTTTTTGGACCAAAACCGTAGAATTTTACCAACCACAGGGACCATTTTTTTTAGTTTTGTCTCTAAATTTCAGTAATTTCCTACTATTTTAAGGGTTAAATACACATACTAATAATTTTTAAATTTATGATAAAGTATCATTTTGTGTAAAATAGTTACATATCATAATAATCATCTTTCATGTGTTTTAGGCTAGATAATTAGTTTATTTTATACGATATAGCAATGTATTTTATCTTTTTTGTCAATTATAATAATGATTAATGTATTTTAATCGTTGTATTGGTCTTTGAATCAACATTTGACATAAAACTCGTTACAATAGTTCTATGTGAAGTTAGAAAATTTCCCTTAAACATAAATAAAATGAGAGTAGTTATTTACAACTTACTATAATTTAAAGAAATATATTACGTATTTATCTTAAAATAGTCATTCTTCTTTATTTTTTTGTGTTGTTTTATATTTTTCAACTAGTTTATCAGATAATTTTTACCGAACGTCATTTTTATCAGTTGGCAGGTAGTAGTTAGATTCTCAGTTAGCAGCTAACTTTTCAGCTAATTTGTCAAACTTAGCTTTAGATCATCGTAGTAGTAAAATGTAAACGATGTTTATTAATTATATCAAGCCAGCTTTTTCAATTACATTCCAAATCAGTGCAACTTGATATTCTTTCAAAAATGAATCCAGTGACTAACATATTAACAATTATTTTATGTATTTTTTAATCATTTATAGTTTAGAATACACATTTAAATAGTAAGTAACATATTAGTTATTTAAATAACAGAATATAGAATCTTATAAGAAAAAGTTCAACTTCTTAACTTAGTAGTAAAAAAAAAAAAAAAAATCTTTAAACAGGGTAATTATACCCAATTTGTATTATATTTACATATTATATACACTTTGATAAAGACCATTAAAAAATTGGTGTCGCTGCTCTTATAAATAATAATATTAGATCCTGGAACTTAAACCTTACATGATATAGTAATCAACTTGCATTTGTGCAGCTTAATTTAATCAAAAATGTTTATATCAACAAAGTTATACTTTGTTTCAACTTTATCAATGACCATCATGACTACCACCTGGAATTATTGATCATGGAGATCTTCATATTTCCATGGGACATACCTCGGACGAATGATAAAGCACATTGAAATATATGCAAGAGCGCTTTTTAGACAAAGAAATGGTATCGAGTGTTTTGCAACATGAACTATTTAACTTTTTATGGGGTCAGTCTAAATCTTTTAGAGTTGTCTTTGTATGTTTTTCAAAATTTTCTTTATAAGAAAAGGGTTAGGGACCACTTTTAGTGGTGTCCTCATCCCTCTTATTTCTAAAGAGATTCTAATCATATAGAAAACAAAATTTCACAATTATAACTACCTAAAATTTTCAAGATATAATAGTCTAATAGGGAAAAAAATACAACACGATAATTGGGGGAAAAAATCAAAATACAATCCCGTAATAAGAAAAAAAAAATGTACAACATTGTAATAGAAATAAATGAAGTGGGATGCTATAATAAATTACACAAGTAGATGAAAGTACATTGCTCTTTCTTGCATTTAGTCCTTTTAAATAATAAGCAATAGCATAACATACAACCACGCAAAGACACCTTCATGTATAAACTTACACAAATGTAACGAGCAAGTGTAGTATGAAAGAACCCCTTCATGTATAGAATAACAATACACATGATACATATATACATACATGATCAATCTACAATGATGAAATTATCAACTTGATTTTCATTTGTTTTACTTTTACACCATATGTTAATCAAGAAGACCGAAGTTAATCAATTTTCTCCATTATATTGAATCCATAAGCATGCAACATTTCGAGTGCTGCAAAATCACAAGTAAAAAGTAAGCAACATAACAGTCTTTTTTTCATTGAATAAAATTTACCACAAGTGAATTGACAATTACCTGGCTCATAAACTTCCGCATCAATAGGCCTTAAGACACCCGTACTTGTAATTTTTCCCGCAAGTAAAAGCTGTAGAATCAAAGCTATAGTTACACTTTATACCAAACACAAAACTTTTGAGGTAAAAGTTAAAATTATTAAAGCAAAAAAGTAAATATACCAAAGCACCAATTGCTACAGGAATCCCAACTGTTAAGGCCATGCCACTTATTGTTTTCCCATTCTGAGTCCTCCCAAATTCCAATAAGGTTGCCTCATGTTTTTCTGTAGGGCGACCATTTGGGAATTCCACCACTACTTGATGATACAAAAGAACCATGTCCTGAAAGAAATTTTATTAATAAAAATTACCCACATTCAAGATATCATTTCATTTTAATAAATTATCAGTTACCTACCTGTTCTGTGGTGTTATAGGCTAATCTTTCTTCCATCCGAAGGCATGTCACATCAAATGCACTTTGACAAGATGAAGGTACCTCTGTTTGCTCATAAAATCCCAAAAACCTAAAATCCATGAAAAGATTTCCATTTTTTTAATAATTATATATAAAAAAGCATGTTAATATAATATCAGACAGTTTATGCTTACATAATTGCTTTAGCTGTCCTGAATGCTGTTCCATTCTCTTTGCAGAATCCAAGTTCTATTATCCTTTCTGTAATAAGCTTATCTGGCTTCACAGATTCATCAAAATTCCTGCTTTCAATCTTCAAAAGTTCAAATAGAAATGTTCTATACGTACGTCTATCTTTATCTTTATTTGTAAGAATCAAACTAACTTCACTTTCAAAGAAACCAATTCTTGCAAGTGTGCCCATTATTTCACCAAACCCTGTGCACATAAGTTTCACATTACACCCTCTAGAACCAAAAACTTCTATATATTCCCAATTTCCAAAAAAAAAAATGTCAATCCAAGTTTCAAAAACTACCTTCATAACGAAGAGTGCCACGAAATATGGTCGATGCTTCATTTTGTATCCCGTATAAATCTCCATAAGTTAAGGAGTTGCGATTAGGTAGGACCTCAAGTGCAAAAGCTGGAAAATCATGCATCCGAAATTTTGTAGCTGAATCATACAGATCATCTCCTGAAAATTTGCACCAACTATAAATTATTAAAAGAAATAAGCAAGTAACATCATAAGTGTCAACTTGATTTTTCAATGTTAGCAAAAAGAATAAGTAAATTACATTTTTTGTCCCTGAGTATAGCTGATTTTTGGGATTTTGTTCCCAAAAAGTTCTCTTGCAATTTTTGTCCCAAAAAGTACTCTTACAATTTTGGTCCTTATTTTAGGTTCTTGTAACGTTTTTAGTCCTTGTACCAAGTGAAATGACTAGTTTTTAGTCCTTGTTCCAAGTAAAATGACAAGTTTTAGTCCCTGGGTATAGCTGATTTTTGCAAATTTGGTCCCAAAAATAGACATTTTACTTGGAATATGGACCAAGGACGTTACAAAAACCTAAATTAAGGACCAAAACTGCAAGAGAAGAACCAAAGTTAAAAATAATAATAATAAATCAGCTGTACTCAGGGACCAAAAATTTAATTTACTTAAATATGAAATTTCCAAGGTGCATTTATGTAGAATTGGGGTGTTCTTCATCTAGGGTTCATAGGGTTTAGGGTTTCCTACCATCAACATGTACAATTCCTCCATCTTTTCTGTAGGTGGCAGGATTGCGTCCAGCTCGTATAGCTCCAGCTGGATTCCAGCTGAAAGAGTTTTGTAACAAATAAAATGTTTATTTTCAATAGTTAATATTGGCATCAAAATGACACATAGAGAATTAGAAGCTACCTGAACTTGTAAGCGAATGGATTATTTGCTGCAGCAGGGGATGGAATACCCCCACAATTGGAAACAAAAGACCTGATTTTCCCTCCTTGGGCATGTGCTTCATCGATCATCTTCATTGCCATCATATGATCTGAAGGGCATAAAAGTCATTATGCAATGATAAGCACTGACATGTTTACAAGAATATATATGCTTAAAGAAAATACAAAGGAGAAAGAAAAATGACCTATTCCAGGATCCAACCCCATTTCACCAAGAATTGTAATGCCACAATCTTTAGCTGCTTCATGTAGCTTGTAAATTGAATCATTAATGTAGCTAGCAGTCACAAGATGTTTTTTAAGCTGCATTAAAAATAAATTTTCTTTAACAAAACAAGAATAACTGATAAATCATAGATCCAAAGGACAATAGAAAAGTGTAATACCTCAATGCAGACATTAGCTATGGTAGAATGAAAACTTGGAGGCAATAGACTGATAACAAGATCAACCTGCATGATGTACTTATAGAGACTATCATGATCCATCACATCCAGCTGGCATGCAATTGCATAGGGTATACCTTCAGTTATCTGCATTCAAATAATCAATCACAATAGCAAATTGGTAATTTAACAGTACCAAAAAAGCTAGATACCAAAAACTTCATTATACCTCCTCTGCATCCTTAAGAAAAAGTGATGCAACAATAACTTGAATACTATTCTGCTCTCCAAATTCACCTATTCTACATGATTTTAACCATTCTGGAGACGAATCACTTCCAATTGATGCCAAGAGTTCAACAGCAGGTTGACAAACACGCCCTGCACCTAACACAAGAACCGTGTTCTTTTTTGAACCATATCCTAATTTGACAAAACTATCCTTCACTTCACCAACTTTCAGTGCAAACATGTTTGTTTTTCCATTGGGAATTTCATGACCTTCTTTTGGTTTTGCTATAGAAGTCAAAGTATCAACTATTTTATCAAGAACAACACTATCATCTGCACCAACCTGGTAACAATGACATTGAAAAGTCAACACTCAACACATCACAAGAAAGAGATTATGTCACACACACACACACACTTACTTCAAGTTCTGAGTAAGATGTAGAGTCTGTGCATTGACCAACTTGACATTTGACCAGGTGAAAAGAGCCACCAGCAGCTTCAATTATATCCAGGGCTTCATTAATCAGAAACTTGTCAAACAGATGACCACTAAGAGAAACCTGTAGAAGTCAAACTATCAATAATTATAAAGTCAAAAGCTAAAATGATAATGAAGCATGATAGATGGAAACAAACCAGCATAGTGTATCTATTCTTATAAGATCCAAAGTTGGCAACATCCTCAGACACTTCTCTGTAAATAAATATGTGTAAAGTTTTTTTAATAAAGCAAACATATCAAATGAAAACATATTTGTGAAATTATGTGAAAAACTTACTGTGAGTTCCTCATTCGGGGAATATATTCGTATAAGTGAGTGAGAGCTCCTTTATGTGCTATACAAGCTCTCTTTAAGTGAACAGGTAAATCTTCTAGATCTTTTGAAGAAGCTAAACTCCCAATAAAATAGGAAAGTACATCACCAAAATGTTGTGAAGCCTTTATGACAGATGCTACCATGTTAGATGCCATGATACCAAAAAAAAAAACATTTAAGTAGAAAAAGACTAGTAAGGTACAGGTTTCACAGCACCTCTTTGGCAAACTCAGTAGGGAGAATGTCAACAGCTAAACAAATTACGCCATCGCCCTCCACGTCATCATGATACGAGTCACCAGATGGATCATATCTAGTAGCCAAAACTGTGTATTATTATCAAGGGGTACAAAAGTGAAGCTTCACAATATGAGTTGAAGAGAAATAGATATACCTGAAAAGAGGTGAATCAATTGATGTGGATTTGTTTACAAATTCTATGGAGCCTCCTATATCACAAGTTATATCACAAATCCCAACAAGTGGGCAGCTTTTATGTGTTAAATCTTGTAGTTGCTTGGTAGTCAATAAGCAAGGGTATCTTTTCTCCCAATACATGCAATTAACTGCTCAAGGGGCATAACACCAGTTAGGTATTGACACAGAATATGATAAATACTAAATAGGTCAAATAATTGAAGGAACCAAACTAATTCCATAATAGTGGATGTTATCCAATCAGAAAAAGGTATTGTAATGTGGATAGGGTGGTAGTGGGTAGCCTCCAATAAAAAAAATTGGTTGGTGGATGATATCACTATGTGGAAAGTGGGATGTTTAATACTACTATTATGGCTAAAAACATGGAGGGCAAAGATGGCATCTCACATCTGCTAATCTAGATGGAGGGCAAAGATGGCAATTTCATATTGTCTTGACATCTCACATCTGCTACTCTAGATGCAAGTCTTCTGCAGCTATAATACCCAATATAAGCATGATTGTATCTTCACAACAATATATATATATATATATATATATATATATATATAGAGAGAGAGAGAGAGAGAGATCACTGTAGTTGATCTCTTTTGACCAATAAATGTGTCTTGTATCTCTTGCTATCATCTTTTACCATGAACACTCGCTTATTCTACAAAGCTTTCTTTCTTGTTGGTAGCTTAATCAATGAAAAGGTATCATTTTTCTCAAGTGAACTTGTTTCTTCATTCATAGCATGCACCCACTACACAGAATCTTTCATCCTTACGACTTCTATAACACTAAGGTTCACCATTTTCAGTCACAAGTAAGTAGTTTGCTAAAGGAGAGTATCTCTATGGAGGTCCTCTGACTCTAGTAGTTATCCTAAGGAGAAACTAAAACTGCTTCATTTGCATTGTTGTTTTTCAAACCACTACTATTTACTAAAGTTCCTTTGTTTTCTAAACTCCCACTACTTTTAGACTACTCATTAATTTATCAGCTCAAACTGTTTCCTGGAAGGTCACTTCCAGCAGTGGCCCCAAAAACAACACAACACTAATTGCCTCCAAACGAGAATGTCTATGCAAGTGTTAAGACTATTTTTCATGTAAATGGAGAAATGCCTATATGCACCAAGGAAATGTAGCCTTAGTTTAGTAACAAAAACAAAATAACTGAAAAAATGTCTGCATACCTATAACAGATGCATATGGAGCAACCTTCTCATGAAAAACTGGTCTGTAGCGCTCAGGATGTGCATAGTAATCAACCTGGAATGGAAATTCCGGTAGTCAACATACATTGCATAAAGTAATCATACAGGTCAAAGATAATGTTGTTCTTATAGCAACACAAAAAACCAAAACTCTCCCAAAATTTTACAAAAAGTAACAATAACATTAAGCAAATGGAAACATATTCAAGCAATATAATGATAGTTGATACCAATGTGAGGCAAAGAAGAAGGAACTTAAAAATTAATGCATAAAACCAATGTTACGTACTTTATCAAAAGCTTCACTAGGATCATTGTGTTCAACCATGTCTTCACTAGTCACGATACAGCCATACACTTGGAAAGCCCGTTTAGGTTGACAAAGATCCACGCCCTAAGCAACATGAGTAAATTACTAACACAATAAGTCAAATGTGAAATGTATCTTATCCTTCCTAAACACAATGTACATTTTACATTTTGAAGAGAAAAATTAGCAACAGATTGTGACAATTGGACATAGTAGGTTGAGTTTCTTCCTCATTCTCCATGTCACACAGAAACATATAAGAAAAGAGATGATAAATAAGGTCAATATTACCTTGTCAAATAGTTTTGGAAGTTTACTTGAATCCACAAATGTATGAGGAAGAAGCTTGAATATTTCTTGTGCTCCAAGAGAAACTAAAACGTGAATCAAAAACTAAATTACCAAGACATTTAAAGTCCTTGATAAGATTCTATTATAGGAAAGAAGCTAGAACTAAGTTAACATTGTGTACAAAGAGACAAAATAATGCATCAAATGAGCAATAAGTAATACCATTTCCAGAACCAGTGAAAATAAATACTAAAGGAGAAATGCTTGAAGGCAATCCAGTAGTAGCTATCTCTTCACCCACAGAAACAACTGCAGCCTTTGCAGCAGCCAATGATGGATACATATAAGATGAACCTAGTGACAGGAATGGTGTTGAATATCCAAGACTAAGATACCCTGAAAAAGAGTGAATAAATATATCATTGAACTCATTTATGGGTAAATGCTAGAAAAGAAAAAAGATTAAGTTCATGTTTCTTACTTCTTCCCAGTCCACTTAAGAAGTCAATAAGTCCAGCTCTACCAGCAAACTTGCCAAATGCAAGTAATCTCTTCCCTTTATCTCCAACTATGAGCTCATAATCAAACAAAGATGCCCTCTCATCCAAGATCTACAAATCAAAAAGAATGTTTTTAATAACACCAGAACCATCAGTATAACATGGTGTTATTTTGATGGAGAAAGAACACCATACTTTATCTAGCAAAGGCATATTCTCTTTTTGTGCTTTGTGAGTATGGGAGAAAAATGCATATGCTCTGTCAGGAAGAATCATCTCCAACTGCAGCAAAAGAAAAACGTTATTCTGCAATGTGAATTTTGTTGTGTAAGAATACAATTATGTCAGATTATAGCACCTTTGGTTGCTTGATACCCAATATGAGACCACAGTCGGATAAATCCTCAGAAATCTCACAGCCAACATCCTCATACAGAGCATCATGATGTATCCGCTTTGTTGATGGCTGTACAATAATGCGTGTCACTTCCACTTTACCCTTCCCACTGTGCAGAAGTCTAGCACAGTGTGATGGGGTTAAAGGAACCCTTCTTTCCCACTTGTTTGTAGACTCTGAAAGGATCCCGATAACTCCATTGCCATGCATGATAACTTCCCCCTTCTTTCCAAGTACTAACTATCTGTATTTCAATCCGACAATCTCTGCTAACAACCAAATATCAACTTAGAATTATTAATCTGTTTGATTGGATTACTAACAGAAAATAGGTAGCCAAACCAACCTGTTTCTTTTTTCCTTAAAAGGATGAGACAGTCGCTGCAGAAGGATATTCCCCTTTAGGATCGCATTAGGATCTACGCAGCAGATATACATAAGAAAAGGCAGTAAACATCGTAGGTGATTCATACTGACGTGTGCGTTTGGCGATGAAAGGGATAGGGCAACAAAGAGCACGAGATAATGATGAACAAGATGACTACAAACGTGTGAAAGCTTCCCACAATTATATTAATTTCTTCATTGAAAAGTGTCTATAATGCAATGGATTGTTGCCAACTGTCCCGAGATCCACATGATACTGTTAATAGATTGTCGAGTACATAAGTGAGAAACCTCCCCACGACAAAGCCATCTCTCATCAAACTCAACAACTTTCCAATATTTTACTCCGAGTGGCCCTGATGCTAGTCGTTTTGCGATTGAGTTTTGTCAGGACGTCTCTTCCCATTCAGCGCTCCACATATGTTTCTGTTTTACCTACTTCTCCGTTCTTATAAACGCCTCAAATCTTTTACAGTTTTTCTACATGTCTTTGTTTGAACTTCGAATCGGTGATTATGTCAACGTCTACAGCGTTTTCGATTCTTTATATGTGCCATCCTCTGATTTTATTCGGGATTTCTTTGTACTCTTTTCCAATTTCTATGTTCAATTTCTTCAAATTCTTGCTGGGTTTGCATTTTTACCTGAAATTTCGATAATTACAAACCCTATTAATTTTAATGAGCGGATGTTTTTTAGTTGTTTATCGACAAAACTGTAAAAAATGGTTATTGTAATTTTTTTTTCCAGATCTTAACGGGATAAATGGTTTTTTTTTTTCTTTTTTTTGAATTTGGTGACCATCAAATTGAAAAGTTTATTTTATCTTTTTAATTTTTTTCTCGTTATTTTTAATTGTTTTACAATTTTATTATTAAAAAATGGTAAAACAACTAATATTAATATTGTAGTCCATTTCTAGTATAATACCCGTTTGGTGAACGGGTTGGCCGATAAATGAATTATCGTTAATTGTGTATATAATTTTAGTATCTATACAGTTTATGTGAGTTTTAGGTGAGTTTTGGGAACATAGGTATACCAATAATACCTTTTAATAATCAAGTTTAAAGAGCAAAAACAATTAATCAAATAAACTTTCAATTAATAAATCACGTATTGTTACAATGCCTCAAAGCCCGAATTAAAATGCAAAATGCAACATACATTGTCAATCACAAATAAACTCTCAATTAATAAATCATGTAAAGTTGCCAGCATACATTGTCATCAAATGAACCGTTGAAAATACTTCTTCACATTGTTATAAAAAATTAAAGTAAATACATTTTTATCATTTATCTTTTTTATTATTATTTAATATTAATAAAATTAACTTGTTTTACAATCACAAATACAAATGGATTTAACAATTAACACCACCAAAATATATTCTCTGATAAAAAGTTCACTGAATAAATGAAATAACTTAAGTAGTTAATGTCACACTAATTAATATAAGAAATGTAGAGTAGATTTACGGCCTTCACATAAAATACATGAGATTCCAATTCCTCCTGTGCATCCATGTTATCCTCATATGCGCTTCTTGAGCTCTCCAGTTTCATCTACGACGTACCCTCCACCACACGCAGGTAGTAATTACCATTTTGTTGATGGCTTGTCCTTTGCGTGTGCATTCCTTCTCCTTCTCCGGTGGACGGAAATATGGATTTTGTGGAATAATCCGAAACAGTTCCATTGATTCCAATGTTGCCCACAATATGCTTCATTTCTCAAACGCAACTTTTCACCACTTCTAACACTTGCCACAATTCGCATTTTTTTTCATACACCTTAAGTCAACTACTCGAAAGAATCTCACTTGGTTGTGATGTATCTTTAAGTTAGTATAAAGATCCACTGAAGTAAATGTGCACCTTATGCTCGAGATACGATGTAATGCTGCTTATTTTACCTTATTTGCATCTTTTTCTGTTTACTGATTGATATTTGCACACTTGTAGTATTTGGCAGCGTTTCTGCATTGACTATTGGATTTTTTTCTGTTGTGGGGCATTGGCACTCCCTGCATCTCCATTCTCATCAAATGAATAAGTTATGTTTTAGTTAAGATAAATGGTTAAAAAAAAAGATGATGTCTTTATTTACATGTAATAACAACATACTTCCATTTTTTATGGATAGAAACAATAAGGAACATGCAACTTATAAAATGTTTACATGTGACAAATTATGTATTGATGTTTTCTAAGGAAATTTAAGTGCATTGTTGTTATGTGTAAAAGAGTAAGTCGATTGTTATTATGAGTACAAATTGTAAGCTAATAATTGTAATGGATCAGAGTAAGTAAGTTGTCGTTATGACTAATTTATAATATACTCTAAATCTAAGAATAAAACCTTTCTCCTTCTGAAGTGGCATATGTGATTTGGATGTATAGGTGTTCTCAAGCACGCATAATTCTATTAAATGGTCGGTATCCCATTGCTTGCAATACAAGTGGTTTCATGCAAAACTAAAGTACGATGTACCAATATAGGAAAACCAAAATCAAAACACATATGATCTACTTTTTTCTTCTAGTTGTACACATGGAGATATATTAATCCATATTACAGTAGGAGCATTGGTTATTTAAGTGTCAAAACCAATGAATGACAAAATGTATGTCATTTTATCTCACATAAATCACGGTATTCCATGAGCTGCTTCTACCCAATATAAGGGTGGAATGTTGGCATGAAATAAAAGAGTACAAATGACATTGTTAATGGTGCGAAGCATTCGTTCAGATTTACCATTTTGTTTAGAGGTATAGGGACAAGAAAATCGAATATGAGTCCCATTAGCATCACAAAAATTTCAAAATTATTGGTTGTTATATTCTCCATCATTATCACATTGGAAAGATTGAACATCACATTTGAATTGCATTTGTACATATGATCGAAAATGTAAAAATTTAGAAAACACTTCATATTTTGCACGCACAACGGGTAAACCCACAAGAAATGACTAAAATCATCCAGAAAAATAACATAGTATTTAATATCGCTAACACTCTCCACAGGGGAGGTCCAAACATCAGAATGAATAAATTGAAAATGACTCATAGTAACAAAAGTAGACAAAGGAAAAGGTAACTTAACATGTTTACCCAACTAACAAGCATGACATAAAGTAGACTCTTTTTGGTTCTTACAAGAAATACGATTATTGGAAACTAATTGTTGGAAGACATGTTGACCCGAATGACCTAAGCATTGATGCCATAATGAAGGAGCAATGGTATGGAAGGCTTGTGGAGAGGTGACGGTGACGGGATATAGGTACTGGTAACCACCGTGGGATCCACCCTTGCTTCTCCCTGCCCTAAGGCCAAGATCCTTCCGTTTGTGTTTCTAGCTTTTGGGCAGTCCCTCTTGTAGTGCCCAGTTTCCCCGCAGCCGTAACAGGCTCGGCTTGCTCCGGCGTTGGCGGCCGGGTTGGCTTGTTGGGCAGACGCCCTGCAGAAACGGGCGGTATGCCCCTTTTTGTTACAGCGGTTGCAGTGCATTTCACGACAAGGACCGTTGTGGTGAAAGTTGCACTTGGGAAGGGTTCCAGCATATTGTCTCAGTGGTGTTGGAGTGGAAGGAGTGGTGGCAGCATGGATGGTAATAGTTTGTTGCCTCTTGGCGGGGTCCTGCGCCGGTTGCTTCTTTTTATTGTTCCAGAACTTCCTCTTGTTGTTCCCTCCTTTTGCTCGATCGGAGGTGGTTGTCACAGTGTCGTGGCTTGCCCGATGATCAATGAGTTGTTGTGCCGACTCCTTGGCACTGTCGAAGGTAGTTGGCCGTGAGGCCAACACGCTATTTTGAATCTGGGAAGATAATCCCAGAGATATCGTTCCACCTTCTTGCTTTCCGGAGTGACCATCACTAGACAGAGGAGTGCTAGATCATTGAATCGGGCAGTGTAAGCTGCAAGGTCAGAGCCCGTCATCTTGAGACTCCACAGTTCTTGCTCTAATTTTTGCACTTCACCCCTTGGGCAATACTCCTTCAGCATCATAGTCTTCAAGTCTTCCCAGCTTATCGAATTAGTCACGGCGAGAGTTAGAGATTTTACGTGGCTGTTACACCAAGAAAGGGCCCTGCCGGTGAAAGTGCAAGCTGCGAATTTGACTTTGTTTGCTTCGGGGGCACGCACAGATCTTAAAGACAGATTCAGTCTTCTCAAACCACTGCATCAAAGCGATGACTCCCCCCGCTACCATTGAACGAATCAGGTTTGCCATTAGTGAAGTCCTTATAGGAACACACTCTCTCGAACGCCCTTGGCTATCTCCTTGAGTAGAGTTATTAGTACCGCTCCCTATCCTCCTGGCACCGTCAGTGCTGATTTGGGACATAGCAGCTGCCACTGCGGCCGTAACCGCAGCCTGGAACATAACAGGATCATACTGGGGAGGCGACGGTGGTGGATTTGTTTGCGATCCGCCAGTGCGTCTAGCAGACCTACGAGGTGGCATCTTTCTGTCATAGAATTTTAAAGACGAAATGAGTATAAGTCTTTTAGTAATGGTTATTAGTCGGGTGTCGTAAAACTAGGTTATTAGTTTTCAAGTATAGTATTTCCCGATTTTTCAAATGTTGCAAACAATTCATAGTAGGAGTCTATATGAATAAACTCATGAATTTAGTAGTAATGACTCAATTGAACTCTTGTAATCTTTGTTCCATGCCTGATCTACTCATAAGACCACTCAATGTATACTAGTTGTGTGTTGTTGGGAAATTTAGGGTTTGTGGTGGAGATCTGGATACCAAATTGGATCGTGATATCACTTTCCGAACTGATATTTCTACCCTATGTCTGGGTTACAAGAAATTCAGCCTAGGATAATCCAAGTGGAAACTTACGTTTCTAGGCACAGAAGACGTAAGCCAATATGCTAGAGGATTCTGTGAAAGTATGATGAAACGAGAGCTTAAGATCGTAACCCTCTTCTATAGAGGAAGAGCTGTTTATATATTAAACACAATTAGGGTTTCATTAGGGTTGGGCCGTCATTAGTTGCTTTGGAAGCAAGCAATGTTAATCCAGATTTAATGAGGATTTAGGGTTACCAAAAACTAACGAGTTTCGTTAGTTTTACCATAATCACCCTCAAGAAGTTGAATTGAATTTTCCATTATGGGACCCCAGCCAGGGGCTCTGCCCCTTGGACCCCGCTAGGGGCGCTGCCCCTAGACCCCGCCAAAGGGGTGCTGCCCCTTTGGAAACCCCGGACCCGGGGGCGCTGCCCCCGGACCCCTGACTAGTCGTCGAACCGGCTTCTAATTCGATCTTATACATGTGTGCACTCCGCACAACCCCGTAAATATAATAGAGTACAAATTATGAAGCCCCTTATCTCACATGTTAGTTCCAGTTACTTAAAATGATATGGTGACACTAAAATCACCAACATGTGTAACTAAGGTTCAATAGACCCGTCGAACTTAATGAGTTTGCCCTGAGCCCACAGCCAAACAAGGAACAGGATCCAAGGCGGACTCACCATTTCTAAGTCGATTGCCTCTTAATTACATATAACCTCGAGGTATATATTAAATAATCTTAGATTTACCATAAGCAAATCGTTTGTAATGCTATGTTTTGCAATCTGAGGTAAACTCCCAATAAAATAAGATGCATGCTAATTTTCATTGATACAATTTAGTATATGTTCTTAGGAAATTTTGACCTTATACAAGGTCTACATTGTATCAACATAACGGAAAATTTTGACAGCGCATAGACCCTTCGACTAGTGTAATCACTTAGACGCAGGGTCAAAACTACTTGCAGGAAAGAGTAGTCCCAACACTGTAACATCCGGATTTCCAGGTATCATAAATTGAGTATTTATTTTTGAGTCAAGGAGAGGGACTCGACGAGTTGACGCCTAGACTCGTCGAGTAGGATCGCGACTGCTGACTAGGATTAATGAATGGACTCGACGAGTCGGTGAGTCGACTCGACGAGTCCGCGCTGTGGGCAGAAACCTTAAATCTTTGGGCCTGTGCCCTATTTAAGGGTCCTTATGGCCTTCATTTGCGTCCACTCATACCTTGGAGAAACCCTAGCGAGCCAGAGAGCTTAGAGAGAGAGAGAGGGCTAATTTCACCACCATAGTGCATTCTTGCAAGGAAGGAAGGAAGATTCACGCTAGGCTGCTTAGAGGGGGCACTGTGTACGATCAGCCAGCGCTCGAACGATGATTTCCCAAAATACCCTTACATTATGTGTTATGAGATATTATGTGATATGTTATGCATGCTAGAGTAGGCTAGGTATTCATAGTTAGGACTAGAGTGGGCCTGATTTGTGATGCCTTAGCCTAGGAGTTACTGATACTATGAGATACTTCGAGAGTGAGTAGGTAGCAGCGAGGAGCTTATGAGTGGTCTACTGGAGGGTAGCTTGAGTTTAGTGAGATATAGAGTACTTGTGATCTGGGATCCTAGGAGGAGGACTTGGGGTGAATACCGATGCGTTGTGGAAGGTAGTATAGAGCTCGTACTACTGGAAACACCGGATCAGTGAGCAGTCCAAGTAAGAATCCTTAGGGTACTAAAGAACAAGTAGGGTTGAGTATCGAGTGCGAGTATACTCGAGCGAGTCTCTGATTTTCTTGTGTTGTATTTCAGAGACATCATGGTTGGGACGCGCCACAACCAAGGAGGCAGTGGTACCAGTGGTACCAGTGATGAGGAGATCCGTAGGTTGATTCACGAGGAGGTGGCCGCAGCCATACGAGCTGAGATTCCTGAGATGTTTGGGTCTATCA